GTGTGAGGAGGGTCAGGGGGACACGGGAAGGCCTATATCGGGGTGGGGAGAATACCTGCATTGCTGAAGACCCAGGTGGAGATGTTGGCACCTGAGCTCATGATGTACTCCACATCCAGACTGGCCTCTAGCCCCGCCTTTCCCGACCCTTGGTGCCCGACCACCTGGTCCACCTGGGAGCGGTGCCCAAAGCTCCTTGCGAAGAGCTGCATGAACTCAGCCAGGTCCGCAGGGTGAAAATACTGCTCTAGGAACTGTGGGGACAAGAAGCGAGGCTGTAATGTTCTGCACTCTGCCTGGACTCCCAGACCTGGATACAGGCCAGAAGCGAGCACAAGCCCTGCAGGGATCCCACAGGCTGTCCCTAAGCCTGCTTCACACAGGCCAGGCACTCTTATGCGACGTGTGTAACCCTGGGTACATGGGAACAGACCAGACACTGTTACGGGGCGGATATAACCACAGACTGAGGTGGAGATGGATGTTGGAGAGGGACACGTTGAGAGTTGCTGGGTTAGGTTCAAAGGGATAGAAAACAAGGGTGATGTCTACTACAGGCCACCTACCCAGGTGGAAGAGGTGGATGAGGCTTTTTTTAAACAACAAACAATCATCCAAAGCCCAAGATTGGGTGGGGATGGAGGAAGTCAGCTATCCAGACATATGTTGGGAAACTAACACAGCAGGGCACAGGCTATCCAACAAGTTCTTGGACTGCATTGGAGACCACTTTTTAATTCACAAGGTTTAGAAAGGTACTTGGGGGGAACCTGTTCTAGATTTGATTTTAACAAATAGGAAGGAGCAGGTTGAGAATTTGAAACTGGAAGGCGGCTTGGGTGAAAGTGATCATGAAATCACAGAGTTCATGATTCTAAGGAATGGTAGAAGGGAGAACAGCAAAATAGAGACAGTGGATTTCAGGAAGGCAGATTTTGGTAAGCTCAGAGAGCTGGTAGGGAAGGTCCCATGGGAAGCAAGACTCAGGGTGTGTCTAGACTACTGAGTTTTGTCGACAAAAGTGGACTTTTGTCGACAAAACTAAACCTGCGTCTACACTACCGCTGAGTTCTGTCGACATAACGTTGACAGAACTCAGCAGTTTTGTCGACGCTGGTAAACCTCATTTTACGAGGCATAACGCCTTCTGTCGACAGAGTTCTGTCGACAGAAGGTGTTATTGCCTGTAGGGTTGCGTCTAGACTACAGGGTTTTGTCAACAAAGCAGCTTGCTTTGTCGACAGAACTGAATGTGTCTAGACGCTCTATGTCGACAGAAGTTTTGTCGACAGTATCTGTCGACAAAACTTCCGTCGACAAAACCCTGTAGTCTAGACGTACCCTCAGAGAAAAAACAACTGAAGAGAGTTGGCAGTTTTTCAAAGGGACATTCTTAAGGGCCCAAAAGCAAGCTATTCTGCTGCATAGGAAAGATAGAAATTATGGCAATAGGCCGCCTTGGCTTAACCAGGAGATCTTGCATGATCTAAACATCACAAAGGAGTAATATAAAATGAGGAAACTAGGATAAATTACAAAGGATGAATATAAGCAAACAACACAGGAATGCAGGGTCAACATTAGGAAGGCAAAGGCACAAAATGATCTTAATCTAGCTAGAGACATACAGGGTAACAAGAAGACATTCTATAAATATATTACAAGCAAAAGGAAGACCAAGGACAGGGTAGGCCCATTTCTCCGTGAAAAGAGAGAAACAATAACAGGAAACTTGGAAATGGCAGAGTTGCTCAATGACTTCTTTCTTTCGGTCTTCACCAAGAAGTCTGAAGAAGGAATGCCTATCACAGAGAATGCTAGTGGGAAGGGGGTAGGTTTAGAAGATAAAATTAAAAAAGTACAAGTTAAAAATTACTTAGAAAAGTTAGATGTCGGCAAGTCACCAGGGCCTGATGAAATGCATCCTAGAATACTCAAGGAGCTGACAGAGGAGGGATCTGAACCTTTAGCTATCATTTTTGGAAAATCATGGAAGTTGGGAGAGATTCCAGAAGACTGGAAAAGGGCAAACAGAGTGCCTATTTGTACAAAGGGAAATAAGAACAACACAGGAATCTACAGACCAGTCAGTTTAACTTCTGTGCCAGGAAAGATAATGGAGCAGGTAATTAAGAAATTCATCTGCAAACACCTGGAAGATAATAAGGTGATAGGGAACAGCCAGCATGGGTTTGTAAAGAACAAATCATGTCAGACCAATCTGATAGCTTTCTTTGATAGGACAACGAGTCTTGTGGATAAGGGAGAAGCGGTGGATGTGGGATACCTAGACTTTAATAAGCAGTGCTCGACAAATAGTGTAATATACTCGCCCATGGTGAGTAGATTACACCCTGGAAGAGCCGGCGCAGAGCAATCTGCGCATGAGCAGAGCACAGAACCGCGCGGCTGGCGAGTGGGTCTTGCCGCCGTTCGGCGAGCCCTGTTAATAAGGCATTTGATATGGTCTCATAAGATCTTCTTATCAACATACTGGGCACATACAACTTAGATGGGGCTACTATAAGGTGGATGCATAACTGGCTGGATAACCCTTCTCAGAGAGTAGTTATCAACAGTTCACAATCCTGCTGGAAGGGCATAACAAGTGGGGTTCTGCAGGGGTCTGTTCTAGGACCAGTTCTATTCAATATCTCCATCAACAATTTAGATATTGGCATAGTGAGTACACTTATTAAGTCTGCAGATGATACCAAGCTGGGAGGGGTTGCGACTAATCTGGAGGATAGGGTCATAATTCAAAATGATCTCAAGAAACTGAAGAAATGGTCTGAGGTAAACAGGATGAAGTTTAATAAGGACACATGCAAAGTACTCCACTTAGGAAGGAACAATCAGTTTCACACATACAGAATGGGAAATGACTGCCTAGGAAGGAGTCCTGCAGAAAGGGATCTAGGGGTCATAGTGGACCACAAGCTAAATAGGAGTCAACAGTGTGATGCTGTTGCAAAAAAAGCAAACATGAATCTGGGATACATTAACAGGAGTGTTGTAAGCAAGACATGACAAATGATTCTTTCACTCTACTCTGCACTGATTAGGCCTTAATTGAAGTATTGTGCCCAGTTCTGAGCACCACATTTTAAGAAAGAAGTGGAGAAATTGGAAAAAGTCCAGAGAAAAGCAACAAAATGATTGAAAGTCTAGAGAACATGAACTGTGAGGGAAGTCTGAAAGAATTGGGCTTGTTTAGTTTAGAAAAGAGAAGACTGAGAGGGGACATGGTAGTAGTTTTCACGTCATAGAATCCTAGGGCTGGAAGAGACCTCAGGAGGTATTGAGTCCAACCTACTGCCCAAAGCAGGACCAATCCCAATTAAATTATTCTAGCCAGGGCTTTGTCAAGCCGAGTTTTAAAAACCCTTAGGGATGGAGATTCCATCCCCTCGAATGAGGGTGGACACCTAAGAGCTGCCAGCAGAGAGAGGCTGAGGGCCAGGTGACCGGCTTCAGCCAAGAGGAGGCCAGGAAGGGGGTCTAAAGAGGCCATGTGGTCGATGCCATTTTGTTCTCAGCTCAGCACTTCATCCCAGAGGCAGCACTGCAGGGATCGAAGAGCCCGGAAGACCTGTGAACCCATCCTGATCCTAGGATGTGCAACAAGAACTTTTAAACCAGCAGCTGTAACATCTCTGCTAGAGCCTGCATCGAGAACTGGGATATTCGATGCATGTAACGTACTATTCCTTTAACAACCTCACTCTCATGCTTTTCTTTCTTGTGATAATAAATCTTTAGTTGTTAGATGCTAAAGGATTGGCCCAGCGTGATTTGTGGGTAAGGTCCAAAGGGTAAATTGACCAGGGATCTGTGGCTGGTTTCTTGGAACCAGACAGAACATGTTCGGGGTAGGTGGGATTGGGTGCTAGGACCCCCCACCTGTGTATGAGGCCCGGGGCCATCTGAGGCACGGATATTGCTGGGGTGTCGGAGAAGTTTCCGCTCGGGAGGCTTCAGGCAGGCTGCTGGAGCACTCTGTGAGACTGGTTTGTGGCCTGTTTGGAGAGGTCACCAGTCTGGGGGCTGTAAGGAGACCCGGAGTTGAGCAATTCGCCCTGAGCGGACGCCCTCAGCTGTGCCCAGACATGGCCCGGTCTGCCACACAAGTCACGAGAAGTCATTCTTCTGCTCTACTCTGCGCTGGTTAGGCCTCAATTGGAGTATTGTGTCCAGTTCTGGGCACCGCATTTCAAGACAGATGTGGAGAAATTGGAGAGGGTCCAGAGAAGAGCAATGAGAATGATGAACGGTCTAGAGAACATGAGCTAGGGGGGAAGGCTGAAAAAATTGGGCTTGTTTAGTTTGGAAAAGAGAAGACCGGGAGGGGACATGATAGCGGTTTTCAAGTATTTAAAAGGGTGTCACAGGGAGAACGGGGGAAATTTGTTCTCCTTGGCCTCTGGGGACAGGACAAGAAGCAATGGGCTTAAATTGCAGCAAGGAAGGTTTAGGTTGGACATTAGGAAAAACTTCCTGCCTGTCAGGGCGGTGAAACACTGGAATAAATTGCCTAGGGAGGTTGTGGAATCCCCATCTGTGGAAATATTGAAGAGCAGGTCAGACAGACATCTATCAGGGATGATCTACACAGTGTGTGGACCTGCCATGCAGACAGGGAGCTGGACTTGATGAACTTTCGAGGTGCCTTCCAGTCCTAGTATTCAATGATGGTCTATGATTCTATACCTGAGCACAGGCCGGGTGCTGTTACGGGGGCTGTTACCACAGGTACCGGGGCACAGGCAGGGCGCTGTTACAGGGGGGTAACCACAGGTACCGGGGCACAGACCAGGTGCTGTTAAGGGGGGTGTTACGCAGCTACCTGAGCACAGGCCGGGTGCTCTTACGGGGGGGTGTTACGCAGCTACCTGAGCACAGGCCGGGTGCTCTTACGGGGGGGTGTTACGCAGCTACCTGAGCACAGGCCGGGTGCTCTTACGGGGGGGTGTTACGCAGCTACCTGAGCACAGGCCGGGTGCTCTTACGGGGGGGTGTTACGCAGCTACCTGAGCACAGGCCGGGTGCTCTTACGGGGGGGTGTTACGCAGCTACCTGAGCACAGGCCGGGTGCTCTTACGGGGGGGTGTTACGCAGCTACCTGAGCACAGGCCGGGTGCTCTTACGGGGGGGTGTTACGCAGCTACCTGAGCACAGGCCGGGTGCTCTTACGGGGGGGTGTTACGCAGCTACCTGAGCACAGGCCGGGTGCTCTTACGGGGGGGTGTTACGCAGCTACCTGAGCACAGGCCGGGTGCTCTTACGGGGGGGTGTTACGCAGCTACCTGAGCACAGGCCGGGTGCTCTTACGGGGGGGTGTTACGCAGCTACCTGAGCACAGGCCGGGTGCTCTTACGGGGGGGTGTTACGCAGCTACCTGAGCACAGGCCGGGTGCTCTTACGGGGGGGTGTTACGCAGCTACCTGAGCACAGGCCGGGTGCTCTTACGGGGGGGTGTTACGCAGCTACCTGAGCACAGGCCGGGTGCTCTTACGGGGGGGTGTTACGCAGCTACCTGAGCACAGGCCGGGTGCTCTTACGGGGGGGTGTTACGCAGCTACCTGAGCACAGGCCGGGTGCTCTTACGGGGGGGTGTTACGCAGCTACCTGAGCACAGGCCGGGTGCTCTTACGGGGGGGTGTTACGCAGCTACCTGAGCACAGGCCGGGTGCTCTTACGGGGGGGTGTTACGCAGCTACCTGAGCACAGGCCGGGTGCTCTTACGGGGGGGTGTTACGCAGCTACCTGAGCACAGGCCGGGTGCTCTTACGGGGGGGTGTTACGCAGCTACCTGAGCACAGGCCGGGTGCTCTTACGGGGGGGTGTTACGCAGCTACCTGAGCACAGGCCGGGTGCTCTTACGGGGGGGTGTTACGCAGCTACCTGAGCACAGGCCGGGTGCTCTTACGGGGGGGTGTTACGCAGCTACCTGAGCACAGGCCGGGTGCTCTTACGGGGGGGTGTTACGCAGCTACCTGAGCACAGGCCGGGTGCTCTTACGGGGGGGTGTTACGCAGCTACCTGAGCACAGGCCGGGTGCTCTTACGGGGGGGTGTTACGCAGCTACCTGAGCACAGGCCGGGTGCTCTTACGGGGGGGTGTTACGCAGCTACCTGAGCACAGGCCGGGTGCTCTTACGGGGGGGTGTTACGCAGCTACCTGAGCACAGGCCGGGTGCTCTTACGGGGGGGTGTTACGCAGCTACCTGAGCACAGGCCGGGTGCTCTTACGGGGGGGTGTTACGCAGCTACCTGAGCACAGGCCGGGTGCTCTTACGGGGGGGTGTTACGCAGCTACCTGAGCACAGGCCGGGTGCTCTTACGGGGGGGTGTTACGCAGCTACCTGAGCACAGGCCGGGTGCTCTTACGGGGGGGTGTTACGCAGCTACCTGAGCACAGGCCGGGTGCTCTTACGGGGGGGTGTTACGCAGCTACCTGAGCACAGGCCGGGTGCTCTTACGGGGGGGTGTTACGCAGCTACCTGAGCACAGGCCGGGTGCTCTTACGGGGGGGTGTTACGCAGCTACCTGAGCACAGGCCGGGTGCTCTTACGGGGGGGTGTTACGCAGCTACCTGAGCACAGGCCGGGTGCTCTTACGGGGGGGTGTTACGCAGCTACCTGAGCACAGGCCGGGTGCTCTTACGGGGGGGTGTTACGCAGCTACCTGAGCACAGGCCGGGTGCTCTTACGGGGGGGTGTTACGCAGCTACCTGAGCACAGGCCGGGTGCTCTTACGGGGGGGTGTTACGCAGCTACCTGAGCACAGGCCGGGTGCTCTTACGGGGGGGTGTTACGCAGCTACCTGAGCACAGGCCGGGTGCTCTTACGGGGGGGTGTTACGCAGCTACCTGAGCACAGGCCGGGTGCTCTTACGGGGGGGTGTTACGCAGCTACCTGAGCACAGGCCGGGTGCTCTTACGGGGGGGTGTTACGCAGCTACCTGAGCACAGGCCGGGTGCTCTTACGGGGGGGTGTTACGCAGCTACCTGAGCACAGGCCGGGTGCTCTTACGGGGGGGTGTTACGCAGCTACCTGAGCACAGGCCGGGTGCTCTTACGGGGGGGTGTTACGCAGCTACCTGAGCACAGGCCGGGTGCTCTTACGGGGGGGTGTTACGCAGCTACCTGAGCACAGGCCGGGTGCTCTTACGGGGGGGTGTTACGCAGCTACCTGAGCACAGGCCGGGTGCTCTTACGGGGGGGTGTTACGCAGCTACCTGAGCACAGGCCGGGTGCTCTTACGGGGGGGTGTTACGCAGCTACCTGAGCACAGGCCGGGTGCTCTTACGGGGGGGTGTTACGCAGCTACCTGAGCACAGGCCGGGTGCTCTTACGGGGGGGTGTTACGCAGCTACCTGAGCACAGGCCGGGTGCTCTTACGGGGGGGTGTTACGCAGCTACCTGAGCACAGGCCGGGTGCTCTTACGGGGGGGTGTTACGCAGCTACCTGAGCACAGGCCGGGTGCTCTTACGGGGGGGTGTTACGCAGCTACCTGAGCACAGGCCGGGTGCTCTTACGGGGGGGTGTTACGCAGCTACCTGAGCACAGGCCGGGTGCTCTTACGGGGGGGTGTTACGCAGCTACCTGAGCACAGGCCGGGTGCTCTTACGGGGGGGTGTTACGCAGCTACCTGAGCACAGGCCGGGTGCTCTTACGGGGGGGTGTTACGCAGCTACCTGAGCACAGGCCGGGTGCTCTTACGGGGGGGTGTTACGCAGCTACCTGAGCACAGGCCGGGTGCTCTTACGGGGGGGTGTTACGCAGCTACCTGAGCACAGGCCGGGTGCTCTTACGGGGGGGTGTTACGCAGCTACCTGGGCACAGGCCGGGTGCTGTTACGGAGGGTGTTACCGCGGTTACAGAGGCACAGGCCGGGTGCTGTTATGGGGGGTGTTACCGTGGGTACAGAGGCACAGGCCTGGCGCTCTTACGGGGGGTGTTACGCAGCTACCTGGGCACAGGCCGGGTGCTCTTACGGGGGGTGTTACCACGGGTACAGAGGCACAGGCCGGGTGCTCTTACGGGGGGTGTTACCACGGGTACAGAGGCACAGGCCGGGTGCTCTTACGGGGGGTGTTACCACGGGTACAGAGGCACAGGCCGGGTGCTCTTACGGGGGGTGTTACCACGGGTACAGAGGCACAGGCCGGGTGCTCTTACGGGGGGTGTTACCACGGGTACAGAGGCACAGGCCGGGTGCTCTTACGGGGGGTGTTACCACGGGTACAGAGGCACAGGCCGGGTGCTCTTACGGGGGGTGTTACCACGGGTACAGAGGCACAGGCCGGGTGCTCTTACGGGGGGTGTTACCACGGGTACAGAGGCACAGGCCGGGTGCTCTTACGGGGGGTGTTACCACGGGTACAGAGGCACAGGCCGGGTGCTCTTACGGGGGGTGTTACCACGGGTACAGAGGCACAGGCCGGGTGCTCTTACGGGGGGTGTTACCACGGGTACAGAGGCACAGGCCGGGTGCTCTTACGGGGGGTGTTACCACGGGTACAGAGGCACAGGCCGGGTGCTCTTACGGGGGGTGTTACCACGGGTACAGAGGCACAGGCCGGGTGCTCTTACGGGGGGTGTTACCACGGGTACAGAGGCACAGGCCGGGTGCTCTTACGGGGGGTGTTACCACGGGTACAGAGGCACAGGCCGGGTGCTCTTACGGGGGGTGTTACCACGGGTACAGAGGCACAGGCCGGGTGCTCTTACGGGGGGTGTTACCACGGGTACAGAGGCACAGGCCGGGTGCTCTTACGGGGGGTGTTACCACGGGTACAGAGGCACAGGCCGGGTGCTCTTACGGGGGGTGTTACCACGGGTACAGAGGCACAGGCCGGGTGCTCTTACGGGGGGTGTTACCACGGGTACAGAGGCACAGGCCGGGTGCTCTTACGGGGGGTGTTACCACGGGTACAGAGGCACAGGCCGGGTGCTCTTACGGGGGGTGTTACCACGGGTACAGAGGCACAGGCCGGGTGCTGTTACGGGGAGGGGGGGTTTTACGCAGCTACCTGGGCACAGGCCTGGCTGTTATTGGGCGATGCTCCAACGTCCCGCTCCGTCAGGTTGTATCTCTGGCGAATGACAGAAGGCGTGACGCCCAGATGGAACGCTGCCCTCCCGTGCTGGTCCCGTGCTGCCATGTCCTGCTTCCCCAAGGGGGTGTTCACCACCATACTCTGCGCAGGGAACCGATGCAGCCCCCCCACTGGTGCCAAGGAGAAAGCAAAGGGTGCAGGGTTAGCGCCTATCGCTGGCGGGGGGAGGGTTCTAGCTCCTCCTCCTTTGTGGTCTCCATAGGAGCAGCGAAAGCTCGTGCAGCATGGGCCAGGCACTGCAGGACGGGCAATGCCTCTGTGCTGCAGACACAAGGCGCTTGGTTACGAGAGGCCACAAGCACATCTCCTCGCCGCCCCTGCATTGCTCCTGGGGAGCGTCCTGCTCCACATGCTCCCGTGTGTTCGCGTATGTGCTGAGCGGCTGCTGCTCCTCAACCCACCGCCCTCCCGGCTGCATGGAAGCGGCAGGTAACACCACCCCATCCCTTGCAGGGGCTAGGCCCCCGGCCAGTTCCCACCACATGGCCGGAGCAGAGACCCTGGGACCGGCTGGGGACAGCGGGGCCCACGCTTGGCAGCATGAGGGCCAAGGCTTCTCCCAGGCCCTGCCTGGGCACCAGGAGGGTCCGGCAGGAGCTAGCTGGGAGCAGTGGGGGACATGCAGCCCTCCCCCCCGGCCCAGGGCAGCTCATACCAAAGTCGATATGCTCGGCCAGCTCCTCGGGGAGGCTGTAGGGGACCGGGGAGCGCACAGCACTACGCTGGCCGCTCACATAGCGATGGAACTGGGCTCCTGGCAGGAGGCGCTCAGCCATGCTGCAAGAGAAAATCAACGCACCTCATCAGCCTGGACCAGAGGGGGAGCAGCTCCCTTCTCATCCCTGGGAACTCAGGCCTAGCATGGCCTCGCTCACTCCCTGGACACAAACTGGCCCCCTGAATGGCCAGGTCCTCTTAATTCTCTAGCCTGGGGCCTGTCATGCTGCTCTGCTATCAGGACAGCCCCCTCCCCCTCTGGCCCGCCAGCACTTGCACTCACTTCCCCCAGCCCCAGCCTTGTCTCCTGGAAATGTGCATCTGTCCCGCTCCGCACAAGCTCCTGGAAGGCCTGTCATTTCCCAGAATGAGCTATGCACAGCCCTGCTACTCCACAGGGAGCATCCCACACACTCCCTCAAGCACAAGGGGAGCAGAACAAGAGGTGCATTCACCACAGAAAGGTAGGCCCCGAGTTCTTGTGCAGAAAAGTCAGGACTTTACAAAACGAAAACAAAGGAGCAAAGTGCAAGGAAACTACGAACTTCACAGGCAAAGTGAACTCAAAGCAAAGGTTCTGTCTCAGCACAGCCTGGGCCTCCTCCCCTTAGCAGCTGATGTCATGAGCAGAGATGGAGGACTAGAGACGGGCATTGGAGGCCACCATCTCGCAGCCCTGGTTCACACACCAAAGTTACAAAGATCCGGAGGGGGAACCGGGTTAGTCTGTAACTGAAAGAACTTAAAAAACAGCAAACAGCCTAACAAAAATGTAGATGGTATCATGAGTTTTTGTGGGCACAACCCACTTCTCCAGATAAATGGAGCTAAGGGGTCCAAGGTACAAATAGCAGAGAAAGGGGATGGGGAGGGATAGAGAAGGGAAAAAATGGAGACAAAATATTGTTAATTAGTGTCTATGCTACATGAGACTAACCGAGTGGGCTCTAAGTACCCGGTGAAGCTTGATTGGTGCCTGGCATCCAACCCCGAGGATTCGCCCTGAGCAGATGCCCTCAGCTGTGCCCAGACTCGGCCCGGTCTGTCACACCGGGCCAGGCTCCACAGGATAGCCCTGGAGTTCTTCTGGCCAGGAATGCACTGGGTCTCTGCAGGGGTCTTGTGTCTTCCCCTGGAGGGCCTGGTCTGCCTGCGCAGCCAGGTCTGGACCTTCTGCCTCCAGGCCCTGCAGAGACTCCTCTATGGTGCAGGTAGTCTGGCATGGAGCACTTTGGTGCTCACCTTCCTCCACCCCCTCCGACACGACCAGCAGCTCTTATTCATCCACCCGAGGGGTCTTCCGTAAGACCTCTCAGAGTTGCCGGAATTCTACCAGGAACTCCTCCAGGCCTGGAAGCTGTTCTCAGCGACCAGGTCTGTTGTGACCACCGAGGGAGGAGATCTCCTCACGGAGCCCCTGCTCCACAATCCAGCCTTGTGCGTGCAGGTGGCGGAGTCTCCCTCGGTGCGCCGGCAGCTGATCCTGGCAGAGACCTCCAAGGTCAGAGACATCTTGGACTACGATGGGGGGACTGGGTGGATCCCTGAGCGCTCGCTCAGCGCATGGGGCTCTCCACTCCCTGAACCTCTCTGCGCCTACTCCAGGAGGTGAAGGTGGCTTTGTCTCAGCCCGCTCTCGACTTCCTGCAGCAATCCCTGCGAGGGGGGACGCCCCACCCCGCCCCCACTGAAAGCCCTCAGGCCCTTTCTCTTGGGCCCCTGTTCCATGGGCTCCCTCGCCCCGGCTTCCCCCGCCCTGGACCAGCAGCCAGCTGCAGGATCTGCAGCTAGTCTGTTTCCAAACCATGCCCAGAAACCACCTGTACACACTTGTGCTCCACACATTACACTTCCTCACCCTCGTGTCCCTCCCCAACACCAAGTGGTGGGACTCCTTAAGACCTGTTGAGGGTGGGGGACCCCGAAGGGCCAGCATGTATTCCACCCTAATCCCATGGCCCATCAGGGACATCAGTTGGTGGCTCCTTCACGGAGCCGTGAGCACAGGCGTGTACCTGGCGCAGTTCACCCCCTCCCTGACGCCTGCCCCTTCTGCGGCGGAAGGGAAAACCTGGCAGACGAATATCCGGAATGCGCCAGGGAGCCTGGCGTCAGCTTTCATGCGGCGTTTCAAAGCAGTGCCGTGTGTAGCCCAGGATCAGCTGGGAATCCCGTTGACCCCGGGCTCTGAGCAGCGCTGCCACATTGAAACGCTGCAGGGAGCCTGGCGTCAGGTTTCATGCGGCGTTTCAAAGCAGTGCCATGTGGAGCCCGGGATCAGCTGGGAATCCCAGGCTCCACTCAGCACTTTCACCTTTGAAGTGTAACAAACACCTTAGGTCATTAATAAAGATATTGAACAAAACTGGTCCTAGAACCGAACCTTGGGGCACGCTGCTAGAAACCGACCGCCATCCTGACATCGAGCCGTTGATCACTACCCGCTGGGCCCGGCCTTCTAGCCATCTTTCTATCCATCTTACCGTCCATTTATCCAATCCACAATCCCTTAACTTGCTGGGAAGAATATTGTGGGAGACCATATCAAAAGCCTTGCTGAAGTCCAGGTATATCACATTCACTGACTTTCCCACGTCCACAGAGCCAGTTACCTCAGCATAGAAGTTGATCAGATTGGTCAGGTAATTGGTCAGGAAACATGCTGCTTTCTAAACCTTCCCCCTCTTACTGACTCTTTTCTCTCTCCCAGCCAGATGCTGTAGCATCTTTTGCCCTTTGTAAAAGGATCTTGCAAGGGAAAGTTCTCTGCTTTTCTCGCTCTCAGCCACCCTCCCTGCACTCTCTACACTGGCATCGCTAAGAAAAAGGTCTCTAGATCTCTTGCTGGCTTTTTCTGTATTTTCCCTCAGCCATTTAAGTTGCTCACTAACAAAAGAAGAGTCTGTCTCCATCTTGCTGTTTTTCTGCCGTGCACTGTCTTTCCTCCTGACTTATATTTCCCTGTTTTATTTAATTAGCCTTTTGCTTTTTTAAATTTTTCAATTTTTAAATTCTTTGCTTTTTTCAAACTTTTTCTTTAAACTCCTTTCCCCTTACTCAGACTAACCAATTTTTCTTTTCTTCCATAACCTTGCTCCTTACTCAACCTAACCAATTTATTTTGAATTTTTTTACTTTTCATTCTTTTTAACTCTTAAAGGCTGTGTCTAGACTGGCAAATTTTTCCGCAAAATCATCTGCTTTTGCGGAAAAACTTGCCAGCTGTCTACACTGGCCGCTTGAATTTCCGGAAAAGCACTGACGATCTCATGTAAGATCGTCAGTGCTGTCCGGAAATACTATGCTGCTCCTGTTCGGGCAAAAGTCTTTTTCCGAGAGACTTTTGCGCAAAAGGGCCAGTGTAGACAGCACAGTACTGTTTTCCGCAAAAAAGCCCCGATCACGAAAATGGCGATCGGGGCTTTTTTGCAGAAAACTGCGTCTAGATTGGCCACGGACGCTTTTCCGCAAAAAGTGCTTTTGCGGAAAAGCATCCTGCTAAACTAGACGCGGCTTTTCCGAAAATGCTTTTAATGGAAAACTTTTCCGTTAAAAGCATTTCCGGAAAATCATGCCAATGTAGATGTAGCCGACTGATTGGGAGGAGAGACACGTGCCAGGGGGCCAAGTGGAGACAATGAGGAAAAGGGCAGGAGGAGTGAGGGGAGATGTCAGTGGGGGTGGGAGGGTGGAGGGGACAGGATGATGCTGGGAGAGGAGAGGGGAGGGGTATTGGGGGGATTGGGAGGTGCTGGGAGAAGGGTTGAAAGGGGGGTGGGCATGAGGAAGGCAGGGATGGAGCAAGGCAGGGGAACTGGGGCAGAGGGTGGTAAGGGGGTGGGCATCAGAAAAAAGAGGGTAAGGGGGGCAGGGGCAGTGAGGGAAGGGGGAGGCACCAGGAAGAGGGAAGGGGAAGGGGCAGGTGCCAGGGGATTCTGGGGGTGAAGCAGAAGGGCAGACACATGGAGGGGAGGGACCAGAAACAGAGGACGCAGGGCAGGTGTGTAGTGGGTGGTGTTAGGAGAGGGGATGAGGAGGGTAGCTCACATGATCAGAGTGGGGCTACTGGAGGAGTGGGCACAGGGAGGAGAGAAGGGCTGGTGGAGGGAGGCAGGTCTCAGGAGGGCTGAGGGCAGTGAGAAGGGCAGGAGACAGGACAGCAGAGGAGGGTGAGGGGTTGGGGGCAGCAGGCACCAGGGGAGCTGATGGAGCAAGGGGAGGAGACAGGGCAGCAGAGGGAAAAGGTAGAGGGTTATACGATATTTATTAATAACGTGGGTGCCACAGTGACACATCAAAAAAAGCCACATGAACTCAGTACTGGTGCACAACACAAAATTCATTCTACTCATGGGAGGAAACTCTTAGAAGGAACACTTCCCCCAGCCCTTCCCCACCCAAGTTAATGTGACACAAATTGGGTTAATGCAATTGCAGGATAGTTGCTTGAGCGGGGTTTGGTGGGGACCAAACTCATCCCTATTGGCAGGAGGATGGTGGGAAAAGTTCTTAGAGGGGGTCACATGACACCTTTTATTTCTTATCATGTGTTCATCTTGACCACGAGTGTTACCTCCAGAGGCATGGCTAGTGGGGGTCGGGGTGTGGCTAGTGGGGGTCGGGGTGTGGCTAGTGGGGGTCAGGTGGTGTGGCAATGTGTCCCTAATTTTGGTTAAGAAAATATGGTCACCATAACATTACCAGAAATGGGAACAGGGGCCAGATGTAAACCCTAAAAAGGGCATGAAAATTAGTCAAAAACTACATAGTGATGAATGCTATTGAGGTATTTACCACATACGCTTCATGATTTTATAGGTCTCTATCATATAGTGGGGGTCAGGTGGTGTGGCAATGTGTCCCTAATTTTGGTTAAGAAAATATGGTCACCATAACATTACCAGAAATGGGAACAGGGGCCAGATGTAAACCCTAAAAAGGGCATGAAAATTAGTCAAAAACTACATAGTGATGAATGCTATTGAGGTATTTACCACATACGCTTCATGATTTTATAGGTCTCTATCATATGATACGGTCTTGCATGATATTCTTAACAA